GGACATCCCCCTCCCTCTGGTGACGTCCCACCCGCGCTGTGCCGGCCGGAGGGACCCCGTGTTGTCACTGCTGCAGGAATGTCACCCGTTTCTCCTAGAGAAGAAGAAGCAGCAGCAGCAGCAGCAGTGCCAGGGCCCCAAGGCCCCGGGGGACATCCCCGTGCCCAGGTTCAGGAGGGGCAGGGGGGAGTCGGAGCGCTCCTACATCTGCCGCATGCAGCACGAGGTGCAGCGCATGCTCTTCCTCGCCGAGAACCAGATCCAGAGGGAGCCTGAGAAGGAGGGCACGGCTCCAGAGAAGTCCAGAAGGAAAAAAGAGTGAGAGCAAAGCCCTGGGGGCTGGATGGGGCCAGCCCGTGCCTGTGGCATGTCCCGTTGCCCAGGTCTGGGGGTGCAGTGGGTGCCCTTTCCATGGGGATGGATCTCTGGGATCAGAGCCACGAGTCTGCTTCACTCTCCTGGGGGAAAAGCTGTGGGATCTGGGGGCTCCCGTGGGTTGGGAACTCACTGCTCGCTCCCTGTCCATCCACCCCTGAGCCCCAGCTGTAATGTGGCTCTTCAGGTTTCAGAAAAGGAAGCTGGAAAAAGCTCGGAAGAAAAGGGAGGAGAAGAAGGAAGCCATGCTGGAGAAGAGCCTGATGCAAGGTGGGAATGGAGTGGGGGGGTTGAAGTGACCCCAGCCCTGTGGGCAGCACCAGGGGGAGCTGGGCTGGGCACCTGAGGGTCTCCCACTGACCCCCATTCCCTTGCAGACACGGTGCCCTTCGGAGAGGTGGTGACACAGCCCCCCACCATCACCTCCCGGCCCAGGGGACGGGGTCCTGCCGAGCAGGTGAGCTCTGGGGACAGTGCCACCCACCCTTGGGTACCTGGGAGGGCAGTGGTGGCCTCAGCGAGCCGGTGATGGCTCCTTGGAGCTCAGTCCTGGCATCTCACCCTTCACTCTGAGCTGTCCCGTCTGTGCCTGCAGGCTGGACGGAAGCAGCTGCTCCTGACCCCTCGCCTGGGTCACAGCCAGGCGTCCCC